AATGAGTCGGAAGGAAAGCTCTGTAATCAGGCGTGAAGGCCCCTTAGCAACAAATTAGAGGAGTTATTGAACGTCACGTCTCCTGCTTTCTGGTTGACGCTCAGGGCTTTAGTTTAGTTTCCTGTTGCCAAACTACTCCAGCCTTTTTAATAAGGATTATAGGTACTGCAATAAATAAATATCTATAAATGGTCTTTAATAAGAAAATGACAAACTCAGGAAAGCAGAAAAGATAAATATAAATGCGTCTATTTTTACTAGGGCTGAAATTATTAATCCTTTGAATTGTTATGTGATTATTCAAATAATTTAGTAATCAATTAATCGATAACTGGAGTACAAAGACTCAAAAAAACACATTCAAAACCGTAATTAAACCAAAACTGTACAAAAAATATTAACATTTTGCATTTAAAATTTAAAAAATATACCTTATTTTAATACATAGGGAATAAAATGTTCATTTTTTATTTTTAAAATGAAAATATTTATTTATTTGCATGTTTTATTTATTTTATCGTATAAAAAAGGAAAAAAATGAAAAATCTGCAGTGTGGCAATTTAAAAAAAAATACGTTTAATCAACAAATCTTAACTGTTTACGTGAGCTAAACAAAAAATGGTGCAGAGCTTTGCTGCTAATCTTCAACACTATAACAGCTTCATTGGAAGTAGCTCAGTTATGCTAGCTTGACTATGACAACCTTAACATATAGATGCGCTGCTGAATTATTTGTTTTGGTTCTGTTAAGAAAAAAAAGGCAACTTAAACACCAACACTCATCAGTACAGCAGGCGGTTAAATTAGCTAATCTACCACCGCTGTGTTAGCTTAGCTGATAGCAGCGTAGCTAATCCACCACACAATTTAACACAACACAAATTTAACCACAACATAAACATCAAGCCTGAAAACATGAAACTGTAACGGACTGGATGTTCTGTTCTCTGTGTGGGAAATGGTTGAATATTTTTGGTGTTGAATCCTGAAACACTAGTGGAGCTGTTGTCAGCCAGTTGCTATGGCAACGGGTCTGTGTGTAGCGTAGCTGACACAAAGTGAGAAAAAAGATTAACTAGTAGTTTTGAGTTATTCTTCAACAGTTTTCCTGAGTTATTTTGCCCTTTGCTGTGTTGCACGGCGCTGATCTAATAAAACCTACATCTCAGGTTTTATTTAGTTTATTGATTTGTTCTAGATGAACTGAAATATCTTCGTTTTGTCTATGGTCTCTAAATAGCTCCTCAGGTTTCCTGTCCTGTGTTCATGTTGCTGCCACATGAATGGAGATGGTCTGATAAATGTGCAGAGAGCATGTTGAGTGGAGGTCAATTGATTTTATTAGCTGCTGGTGAGAAGATGCCTTAGCTGTGTATTGTTTGCTAATGTTTAGCTCAGACACACAAGCTATGGCTTTTCTGTCCAAGCAGATAAATAATTTCTGGTTCTCTGGCTCAACGCTGCAGCAGGTCAAACTCAGGATAATATTCACAATAAAACACAAATTTCTAAATATTTAGAATGAAAAATTCTAAATATTTCATGTTTTCACCACGTTATTCATTCATAAATTTCTAAATATTTAGAATGAAAATTGGATGTAAATGTTTGTGTTTCTTCATTAGTTTTAGTTGCCGATTTTTTTTGATGCAAATTCCTCAACATCATAAATCTCCTGCTCTGTCATCATGAGACGGTTAAAGTATAAGTTGTTTTTCTTCTTATGTTGCAGCTGAAGATGATTATTTTATCGCTCAGTTTGGCAGTGTGTCAGTTTTACCTCGAATCCCAAAAAGCCTGGCCTGGTTTCTCTCGTGGTTTTAACATCATTTTTGCTCATCACTAGAAAACGAGCTTTTCCAGGTCGGCAGTTGTGTTAAGGAAAAACAAACGTATGTCCATATAGAGTGCTGTTTGTGAAGTTACACTGTAAAAAATTAACTGCAATAATTCAACCTGTCAGAGGAAAAAATGTGGATTAAATTTTCATGTTTTCACCACGTTATTCATTCATTTATAAATGTTACAGTTTCAAACTAAACAGTTACCCAGCTAAATATTCAGCTTTAAATTAAATAGTTACATAACAAGCTAACTTTGAAGCTAAATATTTTACTAGCCAACTATTTAGCTTCAAACTAAATATTTGGTAAAGCTAAATATTTAGTTAACCAACTGAATTTGAGATAAATATATTTAGCTTACTGACTAAATATTTAGTTTGTCAGCTAAATATTTAGCTCAGAACTAACTCAAATTTAGGTTGACCAGAGCTAACTAAATATTTAGCTTGCTAAGTAATTTAGTTTATAAGCCTAGACCAGATTTAAATATTTAGATTACTAACAAGATATTTAACTTGTAAGCAAAATATTTAGATGGTTCAGAACTAACTGAAACATTTACTAGCCCATAATTGAGTAGTTAGCTTGTTAAATTAATTTGCTTAGTAAAAATCTATAAACTGAAAAAAACTTTTGCTTTTCGATAAAAAGTTCTCATGAGATGCTGAGGTTTTTCAGCTGTGTAGAAATGAGTGTTTCTCACAAAACTGCAATGAAAACATTTTTTTTCACATCACATGAGTCACATGATCAGCAACAGGATGTTACTACTGGCAGAAACGACAAAGACGACGACAGGAAGTGGCAGGAGGATGACGGGCTGCATGTTTTTTAATGACTTACTGCGTCAACAAACTTATTAACATGCTGAAACTTATTTAGTTTGAGTTTTTTCAACATTAATGGAATATTGACAAAGTTTTGTGCACATTTGTAGTAGAAACACAGCTACTGACTGAGATGCACAACTTTAAAAATCCTTTTAATTTGTGCTTTTTATAGGAACTAGTTAATTATAATAGAATAAAATATAATTTATTAATCCCCAGGTTGAAATTACTTATTTATTCACAAGCTACTCCATCTGAAGTGTTAAATATGAGTAAATATTTAAAGAAAGAAGTAAGCAATAATCATTAAAGCACATAAACAATCACTCTGTGGAATGAATCTGCATTAGTTTGACTTTTGGAGTAAAATTGCTTGAATAACAGATCTTTGCGGTGGTTTTGTAAAGTCTTGCGATGCAGAAAGCGTCTCTGCCTCCGTCAGCTGCAGGATCTGATGGCGTTGGCGCAGACGGTGTCACAGATCCTCATAAGCTCACTCTAACAGTTTCCCTCCGCTTCTAATTTGTGCTTAGTAAATAAATCTGGTCCGGCGTTTCCTCGGTTTATTAGCCAGCGGAGACGGCGCTGTGACTGCAGAAGTGCTGACGGCAGCGCATCTCCGGCGCAGCGCCGCTTGATTTAATGCAGCGCTGGAGCGAACAGAGGCTCGGAGGGAAACATCCTCAGTGGCTGAGCTGAAGGTTTCTCCTCCTCGTGGGATCAGAGTCGAGGCAAATGATCCGTTTTCCTCATGGGAGTGATCAGATTTTTCTAAAATAAGTCTCGATGTTTGGAATTGTTTCTGTCAGCGTCTGAATAAATAAACACCTACTGTCCTTTAATTGTCCTCTTCTGAATAACGTATTGGCCGGGCCTCTGAGAAACAAACCTCTTAGCATATTAATGTCTCCCATCAGGAATCACTGAATAATGACAGGACAGCAAACATCCAGGCATAAGATTATGACCACTGGCAGGTGGTCACCCCTTCAGCCTGGTACCTGCTGGCAGAAACAAGGAATTTGAATTTGGTTCTGTTTTGTTCTCAGTAAAGACGTTTAAGACATAAATACAGCGGAAAGGGAAAATATGAAAGGTTTTATTATTGTACATATGTATATTTCTTCTGCTAATACTATGTTTTTATTTTAGTTTCTGTTAAATACCATATTGATATATTGTTCTAGCATTAGCTCCTGATAATACTGTGAAAATTGCCTTTGCAGTCGAAAAGTTTCAACTTTTCAAATGTCTAAGTTTTTTCTAGGAAATAGTTTTTGTGAAATGTGCTCCTTCCTTCTTCCCTCAAAGCCCTAATGCACTGATTTACTGAAGCAACTTTTTAATGCTCCACTTCTTATCATGATGAAATGCACTATGAAGCCCAGAACTGAAGGTTTGAATGATTTGTCCAAACATCCAGTGAAGGTGAAGCTGTAGCGGCCGAAGCTTCATGCAGCAGACAGCTGGCAGGATCCGGCTGATCGTTTAGGGCCCCGGGGATCCCGACGCAGCCCCAGGCGCTGTCAAGCAGGGCTGCAGATCCTCGGCTGCACGCTGCCGCTCTGACAGAGAAAACATGAAGCTGCCCTGTAGCCTTAAGGCGGTCTGGGATACAGGAGAACACTGCAAAAACACAAAGTATTTTCCTCTAGTTTTTAGTACAAACACCTTAGAATACTTGAAATCAGACCAACTGACTTACAAATAACATTTCAGAAAGAAATTGGAGCTCAATAACTCCTTAAAATTGGTGAAAACATTTTAGTTCTACTGACTCGTTACCTGCCAAGCCCAGCCCATCGCCTAGCAACCCTGCCAAGCCCAGCCCGTCGCCTAGCAACCCTGCCAAGCCCAGCCCGTCGCCTAGCAACCCAGTTCTAGCTCCACTGGCAAATAACTTCACTTATAACAAGACATTTTTCCTGTTTTATAAGTGAAATAATCTGCTTTGGTTCTAGTATTTTTCATCAGTATTAAGGAGTTATTTATTTCTAGATATTTTCACTAGAAGCTAAATACCTGGTAAAATTTTGTGTTTTTGCAGTGTGGGTTCGATTTGTGGGTTTTATAAGCTAACAAGAAAATTTGAGGATGTGGATTAAAGAAGTAAGAGAAATGCCAGAATGTGTTGATAAAATCCCATCAACAGTTAAAATTTTAATAAATAGTTTTATCTGCATTCAGTGAATTCTTCTTAAGGTTAAATAATAAATAATTGAACATCTTTCCTGACTGATCAGTCTCTTCAGTCCAGGATTTAGTTTTACAGTGAACGTGTCTCATGTTGTCATAAAGGAAAGTTTTGAATGAAAGTGAAGAAACAAATCTTTGTTTATTTCTTCTCTCAAAAGTCAATTTTCTACTCAATAAGCAACAATCAGAGGTTCATATACACACATCTTCAAACCCCAAACAGGGAATATATATTTATAAAAGCAACAAAAAAACAACATTCTGTGTAATGATACTGAGTGAATCCATGTACTTCATAATCACTGATTATCAGATATTTGTGAGAAATGTTGTGACATTTGGTGCATATATGATGGTAAACTGGTGGAATAAATATTTCTAGTTGGTATTTTCTGCATTTAACTGACGGTTTTTGCTTTGAGGCCCTCAGCTGGGGCCCAACAGTAAATCTAACTATTTTTTACTCGTATTGATAACTGGACGTCAGACATGGAGAAAAAAACATGATTAGCTTTATAAATACTCCATCGCAGTTTCAAACCTGAACTCTGCAAGTTCTGTGTTTTAAGTAAAAGTGTGTAATAATCTTCATCGTTTTGCTCGTCATCAGTAAACCTTTGAGCGGCTCGTACTTCCGTATCTGCTTTTCCTAAATTAGCTGAAGAAAGCGAACGTTTTCCGTCCCTCTGAGTGGATTTAATCTCTTCACTTCCTCTGGTTTGGCAGGAAATATTCTGCATTCAGTTTCTGTTTTCTTCAGATTATCTGCTGTGTGTGTGTGTGTGTGTGTGTGTGTGTCTATAACTGCATGTGAAGATCAGCTGATGTAGTGAAAACGCAGAGTGAAAGCACTTGGAGGAAGGTGACTCAACTCGTTATCTGACTGCCATTGTTTTTGTCCCTCGCCGCGGAAAAATGCAGCTCTTCCTCTTCCTCTCTCTGTTTCTCCCTCTCTCTCTCTCTTGTCGTTTTCTGATTCCCTCGTTTCTCCCTCTCCGTCCTTCAGGCTCGCTGACGGTGTCCATCACAGACATGCGTGCTCCGGTGGTCGGGGGATCCGGTGGCGTCTACGCTCTCTGCTCCGCGCATCTGGCCAACGTCGTCATGGTAACAGCCATCATCATCATCACCATCATCAGCAGCAGCTTTGTTAGGTCTGAAAAGCGAGTTTTCAGAGCTGGAACGCCGACCGACCCACATCCTGTTTCTGGAGTTTTTTCAGCCAATCAGATTCGTAGCGATGTCGGTGAGGTCATCGCCGGGTTTGGTGTGAGATCTTTTGTTTGTAAACGAGCCTCCAGGCCAGAAAACGAAACGACTGTTTGGTTAAATAAACTTTTCTTCATCAATCCGTCTCTTCGTGTCACGATTACAGATTTTACTGGACCATAAAATGTTGCAAAAATTATTGCGATAAATGATATTAGAGTCTGGACAATAAATCAGATCAGGTTCATCTGCGGTTTAAGTCAAACGTTTCTCTTCAGGGCCGTGCAGAGGCCTTTGGCGGGCCGGGGCCTCCAGCCCCTCTGCCGCGGTGTGTGAGCGTAGCAACGCCGGCGGCCGGTCGCAGTCGCTCTGCGTTGGACTTCATCCTCTGACGTAACGGTTTTAAAACGGCTCCTCTCACACCGGAGAACCTCTCAATGATCCCAGTCCTGATTACTGCAGCTGCTTTAACTGCTTCCTCCTCTCCAGATGTTTACGCTCCGATGTGTCTGATGTTGGTTTTCTGTTGTCATATTTCTGCGCTGACTTGTTTTTGCTCTGCTTTGTGTTGCAGAACTGGGCCGGGATGCGCTGTCCGTACAAACTGCTCCGCATGATCCTGGCGCTGGTCTGCAGTACGTTTCCTACATTCACCATAAAAACACCCAGCAGTCGAGAACCAGAACTTCAAAGCACATGTTGGACTTTACAAAGCAGCATCGTAAATTAGGACTTCAGAATTTAACTGAAAATAATAACTTAGGGAAAGCGAAGTCAGTTTTCCAGAAAAAAACGAGGAAATTTAAAAGTTGCAAATTTGCTAGAAACAACTCAGGAATTTTTGAGAGAAAAACATAAAAATTATGAGTTTGAAAAGTCAAAAATCTGCTAGGAAAACTGAGAAATTTTAAGATTAATCTTGGAAATTTTCAAAAGAAAAACATGGAAAACTCTCAGCTTGAAAAGTCCAAATTTTTTACTTTTGAAAATCTTTCTAGAAAATCTTTTTCGAGCAAATCTGCAACTTTTCAATTCTCACCTTTCTGATTGGCTGCCATTCAAATTGATGAAGCTGCTTTGCTCCTCGAGCTAGCTTAGCTAGCAGTGCTAAAAGTAAAGTTTCTGACCGTCCAGCCGCCCACAGGTGGAAAACATTCCTGTAATAAACCTTGAAAACTCCTAGAACCAGGAAGCATGAGGCAGCGTTCATGTGAAGGAATGTGATGATGATGGCGGCTAGCGGCTAGCGCTGCTCAGCAGTATGTTCCCTCCATCTGTCCGCCTGAGCCCGGCTGCAGCGCCGCGTCTCTCCTTTCCGTTTCACAAACAGCCGACGGATCGTCTGACGCTGAAACTGAATCATGTTTGCTCTGTTCAGCCAGAGACGTTTGGTGAAAAACGCTTTGAAATCCGTCTGCAGCTGGAAAAGAAACGTCCGAACTGTAAGCGTTAAATTCACTGTAACATGGTTTTCAGCTTTTAAAAAGCTGGAATAGAAGAAGAAAATCTGTTCAAATAAACATTTGAAATCCTTTGATTTCCTCAGAAATGTCTTTGATCCAGGAAAAAATATGAAATTATGAGAATAAGACAAAATATCAGCAGAACAAAGATGTAATACAAGTAGAAGAACATTTTAAAATTCAGAGAAAAAAACGCTCATGGTTCTTTTTTCAGTTGTAATAAAAAAAATAAAGTTGTCATTTTACCACAATAAAGTAATAATAATAGGATAATGATGTCGGCATATGACCAGAATAAGGCCGTATGTTAGCAGGATTTCATCTTGTCCTGCGATCAGCTGCAGGTTTCTGTAGTTAAAACTAGAGAGTCGAGTTTAGGGAAAATTAGCTGCTGCTGCAGAGCTTAATAACTGTTGAAGCTTTTTCTGATTAAATTACTTTTCTATTGATTTTACAAGTTTCATCTTTATTCTGTTATGATTTTATCTTCTAATATTATGACTTTATGTTGTTACTTATATCAGCTCGTTTCAGTGTTTCTTTAATTTTGATCAAAATAAACCGGCAGATTATTTACCTTATAAGTAAACTAGAACTTTTCTCTCATCAATATTCACCAAGTTTTTCTTGTTTCCTCTGTAAACCAGATTAAACTTGTTGATATTTAGCGTGTCTGGCCCGCAGCACCACTAATCTCCTGGTTTGGCCTGCAGTGAGCTCGGAGGTGGGCCGCGCCGTCTGGCTGCGCTTCTCGCCGCCGGTGCCATCGTCGGGGCCGCAGCCCAGCTTCATGGCCCACCTGTCGGGCGCGGTGGTGGGCATCAGCATGGGGCTGCTCATCCTGCGCAGCTACGAGGAGAGCCTGCAGAAGCAATGCTCCTGGTGGGTCATCGTCTTCTCCTTCATCACCTTCCTCCTCTTCGCCATCTTCTGGAACATCTTCGCCTACGAGCTGCTGGGCGTTCAGATCCCGCCGCCGCCATGATGGCGGCTCCGTTTGCTCCCGATTCCACCAAACTGAAAACAATCCACCCAGAATAATCGGTAACTCTTCAGCTGCAGGGCGAGCAGGAGACAAAATACCCGACATGGAGCAGTCTCTGTTTGTCCTTCAGTAAATTATGACACTTCTAAAGTTGCACTAAGTTTATTTAAAGTGTAAACTTTGCATTATTCTGTAAATTGTGACACTTTTTGTGCAAAGTTGCACCAAAAGTTGAAATAAAAGTCCATGAAAAGTGTCATTATTAACCGAATGACTGACAGCCGTAACCGTTTCTGCAGACTCCTCCATGTTGCCGTTTATCGTGTTCATGGCGGCGTTTCGTCGGCGCTGCGCTCAGATGAAGCGTTACCGAATCCTTTTTTACAGAAACTTTGCGAATCAAAGAAATGTTTCTCTTTTATTAAAGAGGGATTACAGTAGCAACAGCTGGAAGCTCCTCTGAGTTTCCGTCGTTTTTATATGAATATGTAGAAACCTCATCCGCATCAACCCGTATTTGTTTTCCGTTTGCTTCGTTCATGCAAAGACCTCAAACGAGAAGATGCTGACATCATCACATGTGCCTCTGGAAGGAAACGTTTCTGGCAGGTTTTCCTGCTGCAGCCAAAAACACAGCAGACATCCAGAAGGAGCAGCTCAGAGTCTGAAACAGACTGGAGATGCACCGATCAGATTGGAGTCGATTTTCCATTGATTTGCTCTGATCAGCTTGTCATGTAAAACTTTTATCGCAAAAACAGCACAAAGTCACCTAAATTTAAAAAAATAAAGCTTAAGACGCCATAAAATTTCACTATTCATGTGATAATTTTACTTTTAAAGGGGCGGTGTCATGTAAAACTTATTTTTGATTTTTCCATGTTTTAATGTTTTTCCTTAATCTAAAACAACCCTGGAGTGTTGCTTTCTTTCTTTAATGCATGTTTGATTAGTCTTTTAATCGCCATAGCAACCATTCAGCTGCTAAACGCCTGGGTGGACCTAACCCCGCCCCCAAGGCGCAGCTCCTCCCCTCTCAGCTCCTCAGACTAGCCAGCAGCAATTAGCAACCAGCTGCTGAGCTCATTGTAGGAGCTGCTGCTCAGAGCAACACTGGTAAAACATTAAAGGGTTAATAGAGGAGCCATGATGGGACGACTTCCTGGAGGCGGAGCTTCAGGAAGAGCAGGAGCTTTTAAAGAGACAGACGCCCAATCTCAAGGCGTTAAATCAGGAAGTGGCATTTCTTTTAAGTCACATTTGACATATTTAGCATTTTTATAACTGAAGTTATTAACATAGTTACTTGATTTTATAAAATGGCCGCCATGTGCCTGGAAAACGCATAATATTGTCCCTTTAAAAATCAAGTTTTCATTTCTGCTTCTTCTATTTAAGAACCTGTGGCAAATTTTGTTCTCATTTTTTATACTTTATATTTCTTAGAAAATAAAAATAACTGATCAGATTTAAAACTGAACTGCAAAAAAAAAAAAAAAAAAAAAGGAAAAAGTTGGAAATTGGGTGGAGCAGAAAACATCGAGCGGGGAGAGGGCGAAC